AATGACTGCATCAAACAGAGCTGCTGGTTAGGCTGATGCATTCACCGCTGACTGATACACAATGAAGAAATAAACTCCTTTCTTATAAAAGCTGTTTTCTGGGCCTGGCGCAGTGGCCTAGCAGTTGAGGTCCTCGCCTTGAACGTGCCAGGATCCCATATGGGCACTGGTTCTGATCCCAGCGGCTCTGCTTCCCATCCAGCTCCCTGCTTGTGGCCTGGGAAAGCAGTAGAGGATGGCCCAAAGCCTTGGGATCCTGCACCCATGTGAGAGACCTAGAGAAAGTTCCTGGCTCCTGGCTTCGGATCAGCACAGCTCTGGCCATTGCGGTCATTTGGGGAGTGAATCAACAGACGGAGGATCTTCCTGTCTATCTTTTCTATCTGTATATCCGCTTCTCCAATTAAAATAAATTTTTAAAAAATAAAAAATAATAAAAGCTGTTTTTTTTTTGATCCCTTGTTATAGCATCTTAAGCTTGTGCCTTTGAAAAAAACACAACTGGTGCCAGAGGGAGGGATGATATTTTAACAACAGCTTGCATTTTCTTTCCTACCTTCTTCCCCCCTCACTCTTCCCCATCTCCACTCTCCTTCCTAATCTTCCTCCATCCCTCCCTTCTTTTCTTCTCCGTTGGGAAAGAGACGGGGAGAGCTCCCACAGTTGTGGTCGGGCATGGGTTGAGTCAGAGCCAGTACACCAATGTGGAACACAGGCATTGTAATCACTAGGCTAAATGCCTACCGCAAAACATACATTTTCTTAACACTCACATAAACATGTAGAGAAATTCTCAGCAAGGGCAGAAGAACCAGTTTAACTTTGACTCTGCCTGGGATGAGAAGCTACTGCCTGGATGTGATCATACTGTGGTTTACAGGAAACAACTACAGGCAGCTACTGTGCACAGGTGGAAAGCTGGTGATACGCGCACTAGTTCATAAAGCCCTTGCCTGCAGGAACTTGGAAGGTACAACACCTACCCAGAGCGAGAGAATACGGTTGGAAGAAATGAGAATGTTAGTACATTTCCCTGTTGCTTTGGGTAAAGCATTGTAAGAGAGGTGAGCTCAGGCAAGCATCAGCAGCTCTGCAAGCAAAATGAAATAAGGAAGGCCTTGCAGGGTCAAAAAAAAGACAGTTGCATGTCTGCCTCAAGCATTAATACAAATCAAGGGAACCCAGCCTTGTGGTAAGGATTACAGCAAGGGCACTATTATTGCAGCTAGCCTTGAGGTGGCCTCTGTTAAGAGTAAGGTATGGACACAAGGAAGCACAGAAATAAAGCAAGCTTAACATCTAGGACTAGAAAAGCCTGTGCCTGTGGTTATCTGCACAGAGAACTGACTGGAAGCAATTAGATCAGAAGCCCATTAAGGTTTTAAGGAAATCCAGTTGCCACAGAAACCATCAGTCTGGCCTGAAAATGTCTTTCTCTGGAGGATCCTTAAAGCAACACACAGGGCTTCGAATTCCTTCTAGGAGAAAAGGGGTGGTGAGTCGTGAATGAAGCACAGCCTTGATGGAGGATAAACGCTCTGACCATCACTTGTGAAGTAGCTCACATGGGAGAGCTCACGTGGACAAGATGGTTCCTCTAGGAGGATCTTCCCCAGGGCCAGAACAAAAAGTAGTCGTCAGTGTTGCTCAGCTGGGACTCACAGTTGCCATAACAAGCAACTTCTCTAAACAGTTTGTAAGAGTAATATTGTGCCTGTCCCACCACTGTGTATGGGATGTAGGGAGCAATGGTTGGTTTAATCAGTTTCATGACACTTGAATCATTTCAGAACTTGATAGAAAAAGCCCACCCTGCTCTGTGCTCCACCTGGACACCTCTCCAACCTCCACCCTCCCAGGACCCTTTCCCTCACATCACCCAGAATCTACTCAAATGTTATCTTCCCAGAGGTAAGACACTCCATCTATCCCTCTCCTCCCTCCCCATCTTCTATCTCTGTCACCTCCCTTTATCTTCTCTTTCTACTTTTCCTTTGTCCCAGGACTCACTGTCCTGCTTCTCTGAGTAGAATGCAAACTCTCTCCGGGAAGGGCTTTTTCTCATTCCAGGCTAAAATCTCAGCATCTAGAAATGGTCAATCCACTCTAGACTCTTGATTAATATTTACTGAGAAACAAAAGCTATGAACTTGTTCCTGGCGTCTGATTTTACGTTATCTTTGTTCTGTTTTGTCATTTATGTGTATCACGTTGCAAGCAGTGATGGATAATTGTGCATTAGAAAATGAAGATTACCACTCATTACCTAGGTATTATTTCCTAGGAAGAAACAACCAACAGCCTGTCCCAGCAAAAAATATGGCTATTACTTAAAGCAAGTTGTTCTGATCTATCCTTATTGCTACATATATATTTTTTAAGACTGAAAGTGAAATGCCACTTCCATAGCAACTCCACTTTTTTCACTGGTGGTCTTAGCTGCAATGTTATAACCAATGAGACCCTAGAAGTTCTTTAGAGTCTCCTCATTTCATGATTCAACAAAGGTAATTACAATTAGCCACTGCCTAAACAGGGAGAGTCCAATTCAATCTATTCCAGTCTGCTTAATATTTACTCAGTTTAAGGTTTGTGCTATGCACAAAGGCTAGAATGACAAGACAGACTTTGTCCTTGTCCTCCTGGTTAGATGAGCACTCCAAGGAACCCACTGTGGTGGAGAGGCAATTACGACGGAATGCTTCAGGAGCTGCTCTTGGGGGTGCACAATGTGATGCCTGCACTTATCACAGTGGTCTCAGCCAAGCCAAGATCAGGAATGCTTCCCTGGGTAAAAGTCAGCTATGACAAGACCCGGAGGGTAAGTGGAGCGTGTCCACCGGAGAAGGAAGACAAGTGCAAGTTTTTCTAGGCCAAAGAAAATATATACCAGGAGGAAAGAGGCACGTGGGTGGATCACTATTGCCCTTGCTCCAGATATTTGTCCCAGTTTTGCCCCCCTCCAGTTTTTCAGCTAGTAGGTAACTCCCTGTCCACCTGGTCACCTGTTGCTCCGGTGGGGGTTATTTGCAGATTCAATTCAGGGATCAATACAGAAAGAAAACAACTGAGGAGTAAGCGCTGAAGCCTGGAGCAGAGCCTACACGACGCTTACAAACATTTGACTTTCTGCAGGAAAAATATTTTGATTCCTACATTTTTAGACTTCATTAGAAGGAACTGAAATGGATGACACCAAGCTGTTTGCCTAAAATAATGTCCGAAGCCTAAATTGGCATGGATGTTTCCTGAGATCAAAATAGAAACTTGTTCTGCTAACAGAAAACAACTTGGAAATCAGAGTCATTTAAGTTGGAACCCGTTCTTTTCCCTTAAGAAAATTCCTGTTTTTACACACACTGAGAGATCAGGATAGTGAGGTCACCCCACCACAGAAGTTTCCATGAAAGATTTGAAGTTGCAGAAATCTCAAAAAGAAAATTAAGACAAAGGGAAAAAAAGTCTGCAATAGGGCATATTCGTTCCACAAGTACTTAGAAGCACCTATTGTGTGCCAGGCACTGGTCTAGGCACTAAACAAAGAAGCCTGCCCTTGTGGAGTTTCACAAAAGTACGGTAAAATAGAAACTAAGAGGTACAGCAAGAAAACAAAGTAGTAAAAAGGTCAGAGGGTTTTAGAATGCAGCAAGTTGCAATCTTAATTACGATGGTCATGGTTGTTCTAATCTGGAAGATAACTGAGGTGACTCAAAGAGTGGGGCCACGCAGGGGTCTGGGTCCCAGCAGAGCTGACAGTGGCCCCAAGGTGGGGTCAGATATGATATTTGCAAGAGTGGCAAGCAGGCCTGGAAGTAGGAGAGATGAAATGAGATGCATCACTGTGGAGGGGGAAGTGCGGGGCGGGGGGCGGAGCTGGCATTTCGGTGGGGCTGCAAAAGTGGGGTGCCTGGATTGCACGTAGGTTTTTAGCACCATCATAGGGTAATTTTCCATCTTCTTTCTCGCAGAGTCTGCTAGTACAGTACTTTCTACTCTATCCACAACAGGGCAGAGGAGACTTCCAAGGTTCTTAAAAGGATTTCAATGAGATCAGGCACCCTGACTCCTAGGCGGTCACAGCCCACCCTCGGCGCAGGGCGCTTCCCCTAGGAGGGCGCCATGCAGCCGTCCCTAGCGCTGAGTGGAGCTGGCTGACTGTGCAACCGTCTGCACGTTTCTTGTTTGCAACTCCACTAGACTTTTCTTTCCATTGGTTACAAAACAAACCCAACTCCCTGCTTATGCCAATCCTGCGGGGAGAAACAAACGCGCCGAGTTTGCCTTTGCTAATCTGTCCAAGTCCTGCCGTGGTTTTACCACTTCGCAGACCCTGCTCAGCTCCAGCCCCACAAACTCCTCCAGTCCTGGGCGTCTCCAGCTGAGGGGGAGAGCCGGGCGCTAGCCACCACCTGTTCGGGCGGGGCGGAGCCGGCCGAAGGCGCACCTTTTGCCACGGGCCCCTCGGCTTCCTCGCTCGCTCTTTCCTGTTGAACACCCAGCTGCTGCTTTCCCTTTCCCAGGTCAAAAGCTTGGAACTTTTCCTCAGCCCAAGGCTCACCCCCCCCCCCCACTTGGCTGGTCTCCGCTGAGCGCCCGCCCCGCTGGGGCCCCCGGGAGGAGCCGGCTGCCCGTGGAGGCGCTCGCCCGGGCCTGGAGGGCGGCGGGGCGGGCACACGCGCCCCCCAGCCGGGCCCGGCGCCCCTCCCCGCGGGCGGCGCAGCTCTGCCCCCCACCTACCCCGGCAGCGCCTCCCCTCGCGCGGAGGGTGGCGGAGGGGACTCCCGGCGGCGCGCCGCAGACCTTGCTCGGGCTGCGGGCTGCAGAGCCTCTCGCTCCCGGAGTGGCTGCGTTAGCCGCGGCGGGCCGCAGAGGGCTCATCCCGGGACCCGCCGCCCCTCCGCCGAGCCGAGGAGGCGGGCGCGGCTCTCCGCCGCGCGCAGCACCCAACCTGTCCCCGCTCGCTCGCAGCCGCGCTCTCGCCCGGGGGCTCGCCGGCCAGCATGGACTTCCCGCTGGCGCTGGTGCTGCTGTCCACGCTCGCCCTGCAGGCGGCCGCCGACTTCGACGGGAGGTGAGTAAGGTCTCGGGGGGCGCCCTCTCCTCCTTCCCGCTCTCCTTTCATCCCCGCCCCGCTTCTCCTGAGTCGCTCTCCACGCAGGGTTACGGGGTCCCAGAGGCGTTGCCCCGCCGGGAGCGCGCGACCTCCGGCAACGCGCGCGGGGAACTCTGTCCCGAGGGCGCAGAGGCCATTCGTGGGGGGACACTCCCTGGCCACGACCCCCCGACTCTTGATGTAGACCTCTCTTCCGTGGGGTAACTTAAGCGACGGGGCGGGGAGTGGGAGCTGTCAGGGCTCCTCACAGAGAGGGAGGAAGCGAGCAAACGGCTGGGGCTAACCAGGAGAGACCTTCTCTCCTACCGCCTGGGTCTCCTGGCTGGAGGCCTCAAAATAAAGACGAGTGGCGCCGTGTGTGTGTGTGTGTGTGTGGGGTGTGTGTGTGTGTGTGCCGGTAAAGAAGCTAGAGAGAAATCGCCCGCCCTGCTGCGGCGTGCTCTGACAGGTCCCGACAGCCCCGGGCCGCGTCGCCGCCACCGCCACTCCGGTGGCCCTGGCGCAGCCATCCGCTCCCGGCTCCGGACTGCCCGCTCCCGCCGCTGGGTCGGCTCCGGGGCGCCGCGTGTGTGAGTGACTGACTGAGCGCGAAGGTGGGTCTGGAGGCGGGCCCGACGCCTGCCCGCGCGCGGCTGCCGCCCAGAGTCTCCCGGCCCGGCGCGCCACGAGCTGCGGCCAGGAGCGGCTACTCCGCACGGGCCACCCCGCCGCCCGGACGCCGCCGTCAGCGTCCCGCCTCTCCGCAGCCAGCCCTTCACGTGCTATCTTGGAACGAATCAATGCCACGACTGATTGCTTGCCTTCTACCTGGAGGGGACCGGCCCAGACCCGGCGGAGCGCAGAGGGGGCAGCGCCCCCCCCACTTGTTTACCACCTGGACCCAGGAAATGGGGAGTTGGGGGTGATTTTGTTCTTTGGGCCTGGGTAGGTAAAGGAAATGCGAATTGAGTACAGTTTTAGAAAACTCGGGCCGCCGCCCCAGGCTACACCTCCTCTTTAAAGCCATTCTTTGCCCACATCTGGGCATATTGTGCATTTCTTGCACGCGCAGTCAGAACAAACACAGCAAGCGTTTGGCGTGCGCTTTTCATGTAGCTTTAAGCAGATGTCTGGAGCCGCCAATGACAACACGGATCTTTGGGGGAGGGGGTGGAGTGGGGAAATCATTGAGGGGCGAATCAAAGCCAGGAAACAGCTTACCCAGTGTGGGAGAGTGGAATCTAGGGTCTCCGTACCTTGAAATTCCACACTTCCGGTGTGCTGCATTGGTGCAGGCAAGTTTGTGACACACACAGCACCCCTTTGGAGATGTCAGCTACACTTTGAGCTCTCTTGGGCTTTATTTAGGTTTCTATTTTTCTAGCACATTTTTTTTTTTTCCTGGGAGGCTTTGTCTGCCAAAGTTACATTTCTAAAAGAGCTTCATTTCATTGTGTTTTGAGGACCCTCCTCCTGCCCCTTTCCCAATCCAACCTGTACATGAGGCTGACTGTTTTTTCTTTCTGCTCTGACAGCTCTTGTGCTATTTAATACCTTTCAGTGCGTGATGAATTGCACACACTGCCCCTCCTCCAACCCCTCCCCGAATTCCCCAGTAACAGGTGTGGGTCTTTGAGGACTCAGGAGGGTTTTTTTCAGGCTCCGGAACCCATTCTGTGAGTGACACCCTTGTGAATTCTTGGCTGTAGCTGCTACCGTTTCTCATTAGGACAGAATGGTCCCCTCTCCTCCTGTCCCTACCGCTGTGTGATGAGGGTGTATCTGTGTAACTATGTGAAATCAGAAATTAGATCCCAGCGCAGTTGTTTCTGTGAAGGAGTTTGAGCCTTCCGTTGGGCAGGCACAACACAGGCATTTGTGGAACATTGCTGGGCGCGATCTGAAAGTGCTGCTTAAAAACAGCAAAGAGGATATTATTTTTCCTCTCCAGAGTACCTGTATTTACATCAAATCTCTTTGTTCGGTAGGTGGCCGCGGCAGCTAGTGTCCTCCATCGGCCTGTGCCGCTATGGCGGCAGGATTGACTGCTGCTGGGGCTGGGCTCGCCAGTCCTGGGGACACTGTCAACGTGAGTATCAGACCTGGGGCCCTCACGTCTCTGAATCACGGCTTCTCACAACACACCAGAGTGTACCGCACAGGGTGTGCAATCCCTGACTTCCCGTGTGGCACGATAGTGCCAGCCTTGTCATTCCCAGAGAGCCACCAGGAATGTTGGTGGGTTCTCATTAGGCCTATTCCCTTGTTTAGCTGCAGGCTGAGATGGGAGTTAGATAGTAGGTCTAGACTGTATTTACACAAAATAAACTCTAAGCCTGAGAATACTTGGAAAATCTACACCATGGGTGTTGTGTAAAGTGGCCCATGTGTAAATCTTTTTCTTAAAGTGAAATAGAATTGACATTGTTCTAAATAGATCACCCAGTATAACCAAAGCAAAATCATTGCAAAGAGAGTCATTTGCACGTTCTGTAAGTGATCAACCATGTGTAATGAGAGCCCTGTCAGAAGACTGAGTTTTGTATTGTTCATGATCACAAATGGATTTTTGGACATGAACATTCAGAACCTCATCACAGAAACTTGAGATATTTAAGATATTTGTTTCCTACATTTTCATGGCTTATAATATTTTAGCACAGTCTTTTTGCTAAAAGAAAAAAAATAAATAAAAAGAAAATAAAGACTTAAAAAAAAACCCTCCAGTGATCAAGTCCATTTCCAGAGTGTCTTTCCTGGGCTAGGTGGGAACTGATGAGCTAGTAGGAGTTCAGTTGAGTTCTACCTTGGGGTACTTGGCTTAATCACTAAGGTGGAAAGGGCTGGAGGACTAAGAACAGGCAGGAAGGTGAAAGCTGACAGTGGGGAGCCTGCCTTTGAGCGGGGGTGGCAGGATGAGGAGTCAGATACATTCAGGTTCTGGAAAGTTAGATGTTCTCTCAGCTGTGTAACTTTGGAAGAGGCCTGTGCTGTTTCTCCTAAGCCTCATGAAGGAGGAAGAGGGACAGTTCCAGGTTGCCTGGAACTGCATGCACAGGCTGTCATCCCTGGCTCCGGCTGGCATGGGGAGATTCAGTGAAGGTTTGGTGGCCCGCTGCTGAGCGAGGCTGCGCTAGCTCCTTTTCCTAGCTGGGCTCTTGCCATCCCCAGGAGGAGGATGTGGGCAGCTCCAGTGTGCAGTAAAACCAAAACGGCAGGGCAGAACTACTCTTCCACGTTGGTTAATGCAGTCAACGTGCATTGTTCAGGAGAGATGGTGAGACTGAAGAATGAGCTCCTGCTATGACTTAGGCTTTGGCCAGTGTCACCGCAGTGTCTACAGGCTGCGCCCTGTGAGAGGCCATGGCAGGACAGAGGAGGAGGCCCCAGGCTCTGGCTGTAGGGCCAGGACCCTGTTCCTGCCTGAGCATGTGTTTATACCCCTCCCAAATGAGACCTGGAAGATTCCTTTGCAGGAATGGAGGCAGTTTCCTCCGGCTTGCTGCTTTAATCTACTGCGATCTCCCCAACTGAATGCTCAAGTGCTTTAAGGTATGCAGAGTCCCAGCCCTCCACCCTGGCACAGTCTGCCTTGGCATGATGCCCTGGCAGCAGTGACCACACCTTTCCCGAAGGTGGAGACTTGGGCACATGTGCCACCTGGCAGCTGTGCTGAGAGCAGAACTCGGAGACTCATGCAATGCGGGATTCCCCGGGCAGCATCTCTGAGGGCTCTCTACTTCTGTGTACCACGTCATTAAGTTTTATCCGGTGTGTACCTAGTTGGTGATTCTGCATTTGGATGAGTGCAGAGACCTTTGAAAGTTGCTCTGACATTACTAAATCCCACATACGCAGGAATAGACACTACTTTATTACGTTTTCATTTTGTTTTCCCAAAGGGGCCAAATATGGTATATGATAACATTTATTTGTTCATTCTTAGTCCTACAGAATGTGAGGATGCTGCAGCTAGACATGACTTAAGTTATTGAATGGTAATGTTGTTAAAAACTGTGTAGAGCGATTTTGTAGAAGTTACAGTTTATTTGGTGAAAGTTTAGCAGGTAGCTTTCTGGAAGGGAACATGGATGCTGGAGTTAGACTGGAGTTAAATTCCAGTTTCATCTCTTCCTGGCTGTGTGACTCCGGGCTAGTCATTTAGCTCCTCTGCTTTGTTTCTCACCTCTAAAAGAATATATCTCTCAGAGGACCTAAGCGAGGCTAAAAAGTGAGTTACAATTTTTAAAACAACGTTTTTTGAAAGGTAGATTAATAGACATTAATGAACAGATTAAAAGTAGATTTATTAACAGATTAAAGGCAGATTAATCTTCTATCTGCTGCTTCACTCCTCGGATGGTTGGAATGGCTGGAACTGAGCCAGTCTAACGCCTTCTTTGGGGCTCCCATGTGGGTACAGGGGCCCAACGATTTGGGCCGCCTTCTACTATTTTTCCAGGTGCATTAGCAGAGAGGCGGAACAGAAATAGAGCAGCTGGGGCTCGAACCTGTGCCCATGTGTTAATGCTGGTGGCCTAGACAGAAACAGCTTGTTACAGCACAGCAGCAAACCCTAATGTCAGACTATTCATCACACAGTGTATATAGGTTTGATAAAATTAAAGGAATATAAAGGAACATTGCTACAGCCAAAGGTGTAGGAGGAAGCCTGCGAGAGCCGCCAGCCTCTCTGTTCACTAGGCATCATGTGAATGCTTTTCATATTTATGTTGCCAAAATAGAGGTCCTCTGTGTTGCAGTCAAACAAAATTCCCTTCGAGATGAAAGAAGCCAAATGGTTCTTTCCCATTCACATTGAAGATAGCAAGATGATAACAGTGAGCTAAAGATGGATGATTCCTCATGCGCGTCTTGTTTCCCAGCTTCTCACTTGCTCCCAGTCTGTCTGTGTTTGTTTGGATATAAACAGGTAGAGGAATGTGGGGGGCAGAGGTCAGTCGGAAGGAGTGGAAAGGCAACAAAAGAGCTTTATGGGAATTCTGGGAGGATCTCTGAAAACACCTGAGTCTTTTTAAAAGGACAGACTTTATGAAATTAAAAGCTTGACCACTGCACACATTCAAGGAAATTGTCTGATTATTGTTTAACAGTTAGATCTAGGAATGGGCTGCCCATCAAAATTCTAAAGAGCTTCTAGGAAATTTAATGTGGAAAGTATCTTTGCTTCTCTGACCCTGACCTCATCTCTGAGGTTTTGTCCATGAGGAGCTTGCTCCCTGGTTGTCAAACGTGCCCCACGCAGCCACATGAGAGGCAGTGGTTCCCGCCTGGGCACAGAGCCTCCTCGTTCTTGTTTTACGAGGTGGGTGTTCAAGCAGGAGCAGGTGGCAGCCTGGTTATATTAATCAGACCTATACCCTGACCTGGTGCAGCAATGTGTGGGTAAGGGTCTGTTTCATATGTTGAGCATCTATGAAATGTTCTGACCCAAATTTACATGACTCCAGCATACGTACTACACAGAACCTGCCATGCTTCCTTTTCAATTGCTGCCCTTCATGATCTTGCTTGGAGAGAGTAACTAGCCAGACAGACGGCTGGGTTGCCAGACTGCCACTTCTCATGGCTCGAGCCATGAAGCCATCATCAGCCAGGATGTGTTACTGTCGTCTCTTTAAGGAAGGATAGCTGAAGATGTTCCCTGAAAGGGTGCCCTCCTGTCTCCTGCCTGTTCCACACAACGTTCAGTGCTAACATTCCTCTCCTGCTGGGAAAGCATGGCCCGTTCCAGAAATAGGCAGGTTTTGTTTTCATATTTCTTTTGTCGGTCATATCCTTGGCTTCTTTCTAGTCTTTGATTGTTTTGTGTTCCTGACCTATAAATAGACACCCAGCATATTGAAAATTCAGAATTTGATTTTCTAATCGTCTTGAGTTTTGAATGAATATTGATATGGCTCTGTATTGTCAAGTGAAGATTTCTAATGTTTACACGCTGATGGTTTTGTGTTTCCAGCACATAGGACTTTAATCAGACTCAGAAATTGTCCCAAAATATTTCTGTGGCTTTCCATGTAATTATTCTGTTCCCTAACTCTTCCATCATCCTTATTGGCACATTTCACTTTAATTGTATTAACTTTTCCTACTCCTACCAAGCATAGACTTCCAAACAGATTGATCAGAGTGTGTCTGACTTAATTTAACAAAAATTTGTAGCAATATCTCTTAAGTAAAGCACTAGATGATTTAGGAATTTGAGTTCAAGTCCTGGCCTTTGTACCTGACCAGCTAAACTCATATTTTCCAGATGTGATTTTTCTGTTTTACAAGCAGATTGTCAAGGTCTGGTGGAGCTTTACTATGGCAAGAACATTGTTAATGAAAAGAGAATTTATAGGATCCAAATATTTTATTCCTGCAAGATTGCCTATTTTTAATTGGAGAATTGGCTTTTTTATATCCTTTTTGAAAGTACTCATAGAGTTTGTGAAGAAAAACTCAAGCTAGTTCCTGGATTTGCTATAAAGTTTCACAGGGTTTTGGCTGCTGGTCAGTTAGTGGTTAGTGAGCAGCTTGTGGCTTTTGGAGGTAACAGTGTGAATTAGGATGGCTTGATATCCTTTATTTTTTTTAAGATTTATTTATTTTTATTGGAAAGTTAGATGTGCAGAGAGGAGGAGAGACAGAGAGGAAGATCTTCAGTCTGCTGATTCTCTCCCCAAGCGGCCGCAACAGCTGGAGCTGAGCTGATCCGAAGCCAGGAGCCTGGAGCTTCTTCTAGGTCTCCCATATAGGTACAGGGTCCCAAAGCTTTGGGCTGTTCTCAACTGCTTTTCCAGGCCACAAAAAGGAAGCAGGATGGGAAGCAGGGCCGCTGGGATTAGAGCTGGCGCCCATACGGGATCCCAGCATGTGTAAGGCGAGGACTTTAGCCGCTAGGCTATTGTGCCGGCCCTATCCTTTATTCTTTAATACTGGGGAAAATGCAGATGTTAGTTTCTCCTGAGGATACTGGAAAGATAGAAAAAACTTACACTTCTATTGCTTTGTTAGTTCTGAATCGTATTTCCTTCTCCATCTTCCCTAAAGCCAGTAAAAGTGATGACTGTGCAATTGTTATGG